ACTGTTATTGAACTGAATCGCATGAACATTGAGCTTCTCGAGCTGAACAACAATATAATTGTCTTGTGTAGAGCTGCTTATAGCTAAACTGAACTCGTATGATTATTACACAATTAATGAACAACAACTGAACTGACTTGAGCTGAATAATAACACTTGTTAGAGCTGCTTTACAGCAGAATTTTAACTTGTCAGAAGTTTGTGTCATTGATTTCTGTTAATTTTCTGTTTATTACTGTGAAGCTGCTTGGAAACAATCTGTATTGTATAAAGTGCTAAAGGCGACTTGACTTGAAAAGGTAACAAAACAATGTCTTAGGGTTTGAGCATAGCTTCAGGAAGTGGAAGCGTCATGGAGCCACCCAAAGAAACGTTAAAACGGTTGGCCCTCAAATAATGAATGATGATCACTTTGATGAAAATCAAAGTGTACTGCACAAAACTGGCCAGTAAGGCTGCACAGGAAAAGCCAATAAGCAAAAATGACTATGTGCAAGCACACCTGAAATTTTGCCAAAAAGCAAAATAGAGACACAATAAAAATGTGATTTTGTAATCAGATGAAGCTAAGATGGAACATCTGAGCTTCTCGCACCTTGTGTTCAGTGTTGACGTATGCTGCGGGTCTCTGCTATGGTGGTTAGCAGGGTCTGAGCCTCCTGTTACAAACAACAGGTAGGAAAGGATGGTGCAAGAACCGAGGAAATACTGCAAGAGAATCTCTTTCGGTCTGCAAAGATAGAAGCTTGGGAGTAAATTACCTCAAATATTTCAATGTCTTTGCTTTGTCACACTGACGGTGAATGGACACTAAACTGAACTATCTGTCTGCAAATTTAGCTTTTTGTTATCGATGGAAAAGGTGACTACAAAAAAGGAATCTATGCAAATAGAATTAAACTTATACTAAAAAGTGATTTTAAAATAATTTTTATTTATGACTATTTATTTACTACTAATAAATATTTTTTGAATTTGTTTTTCAGAAACTGTTTGCAAGCCACTTCATGTTAAAAATCCATTCATCGGGCACTTCTAAAGAGGTAATAAGTGTGTAATAATCAATGATCTTCATCATTTATAAAATAATAAATAAAAAACAACTTCTTGTGCATTCTTGATTGTTCAGTAACAAACGTGATCAAACGTGAACGTTTGAGGAGGAACCCCAGCTTTCAGTATTCTTCGACGGAACATTGGTTGATGAGTTACGCTAATCACTGCCCATTTTCCAATTCAATTTTTAACTTGGATAGCAGGCTTACAGGATACCAATGCTTACTTAACCGCTCATGCAAAAGAGAAAGAAAAACACCCTGGTAACTTCATGCTCTGTGTGGTTAGAGATTCGCCACTGTTCATTCTGTCAGGTCTTTCTGGGAAGGGTGCAGTCTCTTCTCCGGTCAGCTTGCCTTGGCTTGTTGCAGCGGGTGGAGGAGGTCCCTGCACCTTTGAAGAATTTGGCAGAGATTGCCTTCCCTCTTTGAAATGTGACAAATTGAAATGTATTGCAAGAGCACACTTGCTGAACAGGTTTTCGACTCATTGTGTGTCTGTACTGTACTGTCTAAAGGGCAGTTTCTCACCTAAATTTCTCTTTCCACTTGACAGGGGGAGGTTTTCCTTCGTTGGCAGATTTTATGTTTCCACTTTATATACAAAAAATGTTCGCACTCATATCAAACTTTTTAAAGTGCAAATGCTGTTTGTGTGAGAACATGGAATCATGTAGTATTAATCACATTTTGCTGTTTCATTATCTTAACATGACTATTGTTCTCTTTTCACTAGCATGTTTTTTTTTCTATAAAATGAATAATGGGTCATTAATTACATTACGAAAAGAGACTAGAGATGAGTAAACTAAAAACTAAATGTATTATTATTCATTACTAAAATCCTAAAATGACTTAGGACACTGGTTTTTGGAGCAAACATTTACAGTCTCTAGTGACCCTATATAAGTGTAATATAGAGGTGCTTCTCGGCTGCATTTGAGCTCCATTATCATTCTGAAATCTTTTTTTTTACATTTGTATGAAGTGAACACATACAAAAGAAAGGGCATAGCAATTTCCTTGTCTTCGTTATAATAGTATCAGTCAGCAGTCAGTCAGCTCTTGACATGTTCATGTTATGCAACAAAACATTGCAATTAAACCATCACACACATAGTAGGCTGGGGATTATGAGATAACTGCAGTTATAACCATGCAGAAGAATGGCAAGCTGTACAGATGTCCACTTTAGCACTCTACCTTTAGAAAAAAAAAATATGAGCAATGTAGCTCATAAAAGAGTTGATCTAGTCAGCTTTTAAAAGATTTTTAAAAGTTCAAGTTACAAATTAATAAAAAATATTTACACCGTAAAATGTGTAATTAAATGCAAGTTTATTGAAATGAATATTTTCAATGAGTGTTTAAAGGAACAGTTTGCCCAGAAAAGAAAATTTGCTGAAAATGTACTCACCCTCAGGCCAGCTGAGATGTAGATGAGTTTGTTTCTTCATTGGAACAGATTTGGAGAAATTTAAGCATCACTTGCTCACCAAAAGATCCTCTGAAGTGAATGGGTACCGTCAGAATGAAGATGGATTTGTTTGTTTGTTTTTTACAAACATGCAGCTTTTTACTGCAGAGGATCCACTGACTGGTGAACAAGTGATGGAATGCAATATTTCTCCATATCTCTTCCAAATAAAAATATCTTTATTTAAGTCTTGGATGGCCTGAGGGTGAGTAAATTTTCATTACATTTTTGGGGGTAAACTATTCCTTTAAGGTTGGCAATGATTCATGTAAAGAAGTGTCACAGAGAAAAATATTATGTGATTTTATTATTAATTCAGTATTTTTAAATAATTTTAAGTAATTAAGATTAATTAAGATGCTACAATATATTACAATGTAATGTCTCATTATTAGAAGATCTCAACTGTCATTGACCTATAGAGGGCGCACAAACGGAGCAAAATGCATTTCCATTCAGATTAAGTTTATGGAAGCATTTCCACTGTTATCTTCATTATGCACATTATCACGGGGATTATTAACAAAACAAATAACCTGTCTCATCTTAAAAGATAAAAGATAGGGAATTACCCCATTTATGACAAGTGATCTAAAATATAGGAGGAGAATCATATTTATATTTAAAATAATGTATATTTTCAGTTTGTTTTGTAAAGCCTTTACAATCCTAAAACCACTGACAAATATTTTTTTTCAATAACACTTCTGTTTCTCGTGTAATACTGATGTCAACAATTGTCACAGGCTCAAAGATGTTGGGACATGTTGACTAAATGATGGAGTTACCCTCAGGACAGCTAAGTGGGTGGTCTCCCCCAGGGTTGGGCAGGGTAGCCCCCCAGAACAAACCTGAAATACTGCCTCAATCATTTCAGGATATTTACCACTCTTTAATGATCTTACACACACACAAACAGGACAATCAAATTAAGGCAGAAACATATTTCTATTGACCATAAATAGACGGCAACTTATTTGGAGTATCTGTATCATGTCAAGTTACAGTAAACCTATTGTTGCAAACCTTCAAATAGCCTACTGTGATAAAATAAAAGAGACGGTAAGAAACTTGATCAGAGTTTGACACTGTAGGGGAAACCAGGGAGAATTTTGTTTAAACATCGGTAACTCACTGGATTTTTGCTCGATACCTATGTGAAAAAAATAAATAAATTATATAATAATTCAGTATCTGTCTGCTACAAAATAAAACTCATTAAAAATACTATTTATCACTACACTCTGTAAATGAATGTCAAATAGGCTACAAAGAGTGCAAACCTTCCAACTCCTTTACACTATACTGTAATTTTTTATAAACATGGATATTTTATAATTTATGCTGGAATTATCCAATTTAATTGTACAAAACAATTGTAGTTAAAGGCCTACCGTCATCCAACACCACTCTCATTTCACTTTTAACAATTTCATTCAAAATGGCAAAAAAAGAGAAAGAAACTTCAAAGCCTATACATTAAGGAGGGTGATGGTCAAGTAATGATTTCACACCATTCTTAAATGATGGTGTTACAACTAACAGCTCCCTGGTCTCCCCTACATTCACTTCATGATCACTAGAGTTTAATACAGAGATAATTCAGAGAAGGATTTAAATGACAAGGCACGGACAAAAACCACACACATAATGTGGTTAATTATATATGGCTTGCAGAGACAGTTTGTGTTAGAGCTGGATATTGGTTGGCTGGTTAAAAGAGAAAAGTACAAAGTAACTTTTTAAATCCATTCATCATGCCCTTACAGTTCCCGTAGGGGATTAAAAGGGGTACATAATCGGTCACTCAATGTTAAATGTATGGGAAAAGAGCTGGGCTCAGTCTTGACAAAATGATTTCTCAATGGCCCGGGAAGGCTGATTTACATAACAATTATGGGAACTGCATGGAACTACTTTTCTGCGGCTTTCTACATAATGAAAGACAATTTATTTCTTTATTCATAAAGAAGCGAGAGCTTGAACTTCACTGGTGTATTTTTGTATAATGCGATTTATTCTGTGTGATGAGTGACACTTCATGGCATAGCTGAAATATGAATGAAAAAATGTGACACCCCCTAAAAACACACAGATCATCCTTGAATGACCACATTGTTATAAAAGAAAATAAATGCTGTGTCATGATGATTGTTTTATTATCATAAACCTATTTGATTATAGGCTACAGAGTATATGAAAATATGCATTCAAATTTATTAGCTTGGAATAAATTATAATACAGATATATAAGACAATAATAGATATATAAGCACTCTATTAATCGTTCTTAAGACACTAATGCCTGAAATATAAATATTTATGTAGCCTACTGAATACATGGGCCCCGCACAGAAGAAAATCGTGTAGCTTTAAAGGCTCTCGCTTAAGCCCCGCCCCTCTGAATCAGCGGTCACATGACTCATAAAGTTTGATGTCCTGCCCAAACTTTCAGAAGTTCGGAGAAGAAGGGGGGGAAAAGTTAGTTAGGTTAGTGAGAGGGCTGTGATTTTCAATGCGCAGTACAGTCATTACCAATGTCTGCGTTAGAGGAGCCGTAAACTTTTGGGAAAGTCACACGGACAGCGCATTTAAAGAGTTCAAATACTTCAGAAGAAGTTTAAACGATAAACTTTAGTAGATATGCGCGTTTCCACACTTATTGGGGTGTTCTCGGGAAGCAGAAAAACACATCGTTGCCTACTTTTTTCGCAAGGCTTGGATAATTAATAAAGTGGACGGACAGAAAACGGCTTTGAGCTGTTTGGATTTAATTTTTCGGCGTTTTATGGTTGCAGGCAACTTTCCTGTTTACACCATTTCAGTCGGATAAAAAGAAGAACTCAGTTTTATCTGGAGTCATGGATCCGAGCCAGCACAACCCTCCTGCCGGCCATCAGATCGTCCATGTTCGGGGAGACTCCGAGACCGATCTGGAGGCTCTTTTTAATGCTGTGATGAACCCGAAAAACGCCATCAGCCCCCCTTCCGTGCCGATGAGGATGAGAAAGCTGCCAGACTCATTCTTCAAGCCGCCAGAGCCAAAGTCCCACTCCAGACAAGTAAGACCACCCCCACAGAAACCACAAACTATTTCCACAAAGTTTTCCTGCGCCTGACACTGCAACTGGCGCGCGGGGCCACTGCAGTTTCACGCGACTCTTCAGCCTGCAGATCGATGCGTCAGTCTTTGCTGATTATAATGGGGCGTTTAGTGTGTCGTAGCGCTAGCAATGTAGATTTGTTATGGCATGAACAAAGAACAGTAAGCACTGCATTGGGGAAACAAACAAACAATAAATAAATAAAGTGCATAAGCGGACGTATGTCACCATATGACAGCGGAGTAGCCTAAAGTAAAAATAATAATGACCATAATTTATAACAAATATAAATTATAATAAAAACAAATCGAGTGGTCATAACACAAAAATGTGTTATTCTTAGCCAGTGTTAGACTAACTCCAATGCAGGCTATGAACTATTCCACTGGACAAATAGCTGAACTGAAAGATATCGTTCAGAAAAGTAGCTAGTTTTCCTGCAACAAACACAAAAAAGTTTGATCTAATACAGAAGAAAACAGTCGTGTCTCTCTTATTCACCCCTAGCACTAGTTGAAGTGGAAAAAAGGGTACCATTGTGGCTGTACCATGGTACAGTGATGGTAGTACGTGGTACTTTGTCATATCAATCTGTATTCTTCGTATTTTGATACTTAGTGGGTTCAAATGTCTTGACCGACCGTACAAAGTCATTCACTTGCTGCATGCAAGTCTCTCTCAAAAGATAAGATTTATTTCCATGTTTGTTTTCAGTTTATGACAGGTAACCGTAGCCTAAACATTACACTTCATCCAGCGCTTTTTGTTCTGCCTTATACAAAACATTCTGTTACTTTTTTACGGAGAGTAACTTCTCTCAGAAACAAACGATTTAGTTCATGAGTGTGCTATTGGAATGATTCAGACTGAATCGTTTGCATATCCGTTTATACAGTTCATTGAGAAGAACCGACTCAAAAGAGTGATTCTTTTGCGATTCGGGCAGCGCTAGTCGTGATTCTAAACAGCCGACAGAAAACACAGACCCTACGACTTCATTCCTCAAATATGCTTTTCAGTGTTCTGTTCATTGCGATTACATCACTGACCTTTACTTTTAATGCTTTATCTTTCGATGAACCGTTCTGCCTAATGTACACTTGGACTTTGCAATTTATATAAGAATGGCGATACATAGACGTCCGTTTTATAAACCATAGGTGTATAGTCTAGTTTCTAGCTCTTGTTCCATGAGTTAAGATACATAAAATAGGTAAGCTATTTTTAAAGCTTAATTGGAATAATAATAATATCGTTATAATAGTTATCAACAAAAGTAATCGACTTTCCTCGGTTTTGGAATCACATCTCGCGCATGCGCATGTGTTGAGTTCTGCTGAGAAGTTGCCCCAGGACAGCCTGTTTCCTACTTAGCTCCTCCTAAAGTCTGCAGCGTAGGCCGCATCCGTTTCTTAAGTTTTTGTTATTGTAAAATGAGTTGATAAAACTAATGAAAGCAACACTTAGCTATGATTCAAGAGGATAACAGTGCCCTTGTGTAAATTTAATCCGTTTTATGTTTCCATTTTTTTGAGTTTTTTTGGGGGAAATTCGTTGTTATTATTATCCTAGTTCATATGCACTTTGACTTTCCCTTTATTGACTAGAAAGGAAATGAATAATTTCCCATACTTCACTAACCCTCCAAAGTTCACATACTTTAAAAATGATTTTAAAGCATTTTATTTAAATAACTTAACAATTAAAATGCAAAATCTGTTAATGTTTCTTACTCTAGATAAAAACATTGCTTAATTTCACTGCAGCAAACAAAACAGATTGTTTTCCTCATGTTTTCTTTTAAAAAGTTATAAGCTAGAGTAATTAAAGTTACAAAGAATGGTTTATGGTAACAAATTTTATATGTGGAGGACTTATGGCATCAAGAAAACATTTGTTACATATGAAAGGAAAGAAAACAAAACGCATAAGAAACAATGCTTTAACAATTATTGTAATTATTAATCATTGTGAAATTAATCATGACTAATTTATGTATTCATGCATTGTAACCCTAGTTTCTGTTATAATTTCAGCAGAAGTACAAGAGGAATACTTATTTAAAAAATATTTAGTATATGACCTTCACAATGGGGCATCTTTGCGTTACGTAGGTTGAGAATCATTGCTATATATATATATATATATATATATATATATATGTGTGTGTGTGTACACATGTTCTTTGTGTTGTAAATGCGACTTCATCAGTGTTTTGAATTATTAAGGTTTAGACATGAGTCGCTTTGCTATTTAAGAGACGTATTGCGTGTAGCCTTTTTGCTTTAAATCTAATCCTAATCTAAATGTCTTCTTTATGCTAAAATAATCCTCTATCCCTATACAGGCCAGCACGGATGCAGGTACTGCTGGTACCCTCACACCCCAGCACATCAGGGCACACTCCTCACCCGCCTCCCTGCAGCTGGGTGCAGTTTCTCCTGGCACCCTGAGCAGCATGGTTCCAGCAAACCCCCAGCCTCAGCACCTCCGCCAGTCTTCTTACGAAATACCTGATGATGTGCCGCTGCCCCCAGGCTGGGAGATGGCCAAGACCCCTTCAGGCCAGAGATACTTCCTAAAGTGAGTTGCTAATGTTGTCATGCTTGATATGACGTTTATGTCAACTTGGTTTGGTGCTGTTTTATGTCTTTTTTTAAATTAATAAGGCATTGTTGACCTTCAGATTGGGGTCGAGTTTGCAATGCTCCCAGTCATATTAAAGATGGAAGACTTGTTACATGTAAAGATTTACAACAAAGGTGAATTTTAGGGGACAGAAAGACTTGCAATGCTGCTTTGAAGTCGTGATGTTTCAAATACTGTTTCCGGGTCTAAGCCTCCACTCTGTTTCAGTTGAGAATACTATTTCAACAGCCATTTATGAGCACAATTTATTAATATCATACATTTAAACTAAGCTTTATAGAAACGACAGTATTCTGGCTCATGCCGTCCTGGATATATTTTAAAGGTCCCATGACATGCTGCTTTTTGGATGCTTTTATATAGGCCTAAGTGGTCCCTAGTACTGTATCTGAAGTCTCTTTCCCGAAATTCAGCCTTGGTGCAGAATTTCAGCCACTATACGAGCCAGTCCCACAATGAGCTTTCCTTTGGACGTGCCATTTCTGTTTCTGTAGCTTTAAATGCTAATGAGGAGGAGAGAGGCGGTGCAAGGTGGAGGGTGGGTGTGTGGCCTTAACCAGCTTGCGGACACGGTACAGTTTTTACAATCTTTCTTATTACAATTACATCAAGCTCTGCAATCTGGAAATGTGGATATCGCGTGCACCATAACACCAACAGCAGAACGGTTATCCAAACAACAAAAAAATGTGCAACACTCGCATTACAGTGTGTGTATTCACACACATACTTGATGCTATCTACCTTTACATTAGTGACAGTAACTGGGCTGTTCATATTAATGTTAAAAAACCTCATAAAGTGAAATTTTCATGCCATGGGACCTTTAACAATTCATACAAAAATTTATCACTGTCTGACATTTCAATAACTGAAACGCCTTTAAAGATAAAGTTTAGAATCAAGATTTTTCAGCAGTGTTACAAGACACTGTTAGTATATATTAGCACCATTTGTTGTTTCCTTTTGAGATTTAATAGAGCTTTTGGACCCAAAAACGGTGGTGTGTGACATCAGACTTGCAAGCTGATAGTTACATTAAGAAAATGACTTTGGTTTTTTATTTTAAATGTGCAGATGAAAGCTCATTTTTAATCAAAACTCCCAATAATTTTTTCCAGCTGGTTTATGTATCCTAGTCTTTATATCCTAGTGTGGTAGCCTGTGTGCCAAGGTTTCCTTCTCTGTGTGTGTGTGTGGGGGGGGGATACTTAGTCCTTCTGCGGATTGGGTTTCAGAGGGGAACAAAGGCCCAGTGTAGCAGCGTAGAACGTGTGGAGGACGGGCCGGCCTGGTAAACTCATCTGCCTGGCCACAGAAGCCTGTCCACAGGACACAGGCTGCACACAGGAGGAGTTAAAAGGGCAGATTTAAGGAGTACATTGTGTCTTTTTGATATGTCCCATTCAAGTTGTCATTATTTATTTAATAGCTGCTATATTAAGACCGAATTAGGATTTAATTTTTGAATACAAAGTTTCTGGGATGTCTGGAACTGTGACCCTCTGACCAATCGCTTCTAAACAAACATGATTAGCCTCCAATTTACTATGATAAAATGGAGAGCTTTTAAAATCAGATGTTTAGAAGAGGAACATCTGCTTCATTTGGACCAGATCTCCAGGAATTGTGCAAAAGGGGGTTGAGGGACAGGAAGGGGAAAACGCCATTTGTGTAGACCGCTCACAAGATCAAGGCTAATGTTTTGGAAATGTCACACAACTGCTAATGCATCCAACAATGAGGACACCTAATCCTTAAGAAACGGCTCCAAATTTAGTCTGGTAGTTCTCATTCTTCTTAAACAAAAAAATGAAGGAAACTTTAAGCAAACATTGAGACGTGTTCACTGCTACCTTTTTGAGTGGTCTGTGTGTGTCACCGTTTGATCTTCACCCTGTCTCTGTCACTGCTGAAATGCACAAATGAACATTTCCCCTCCTTTTTAACTCCCCGTTGTTTGGAGTTTTAGAGAAATGCAGGCTCATTTTATACAGTGTCTTATTGTTGTTGATCCTCGCTTTGTTTGTGGATAACTTTCCCACAGGAAGTTGACATGGTTTGTCAACAATTCCTCATTTTTGTAGTGAGCATATCTCTGTCACCACCTATCAAATTCAAGGAGCTGAAAAAAGAGTCAGATGTCGTTGAGCATCTTGTGGCTTGTTTCTAAGACAGTGTGTCAAGTTAAAAATAGTCCAATTTAAAATGTCTCAAGACCCATGTGTTTTGCTCTATTGCTGTGCACATCTTATGTAAACTCCTAAGAACATGTCTGATTCAGGGCAAGTGAATCTGAAACATATTTTTTGAGTGTTATGAGTATTGTTTCTAGGACAGTGTGTCAGGTTAAAAATAGTCCAACTTAAAATGTGT